ACTCTCTCTCTCTCTCTCTCTCTCTCTCTCTCTCTCTCTCTCTCTCTCTCTCTTCTTTTAGATTTTCTTTCCTTCCATCCTTTCTTGTGCTGAACACACCAATCTTTTTAGCTCTGAAATAAAACTTTGGAGGAGTTGGAGATCATGTTGATGCCTTTCACCTTCTTTTTATTTTTGCTGTTAAGTTCATCCAGAGAACATGGAGGCTTCAGCAGGTGAAATAGCAAAAGAGATTCTATCACAAGGGAAAAGAACTCCTAAGGACCAACCAGAATCACAATAAAAACAAAAAAACAAAACAAAAGAAACATGAAAATCACATCAAATTTGTCAAATCACAAGAACAATGAAAATCCAGTTCAACATCTGATCATCGGTATTGGTGAGACAGTGGCAGCAACCTGAAAGCTCTACTGACATCCCTTTCTTTCATCAAAATAAAGAAAAAAAAGGAAAAAAGGTTCCCTTTCAGGTCAACACATCTTCTACCTGTAATCATCACTAAATCGATTGACATGTAATCCGCTAGCAATCGAAATTTTCACACCATGTATCTTATCCTTCCTTTGGAAATGGTTTGTTAATATTTTCATCAAGTAATCAACAACTGTGTTTATGTGTATTTCTATGGCATGAAGAACCAAGTTTAATGTGCAGATCTTGGCACTCAGAGGTGGAGAAGCATCAGAACTCATCAATCTCAACAAAGAAACTGAAGGTTCTTGCAGCAATAGAAGTGAAAACAGCTCAGACATCAACTTGGATATCTCAAGAACATCAGTCACCGAAAGCCCCCTCCCTCCGCACCAAACCTTGCCTTACTTCCAATCAGTCAGACCAGCTGACACAGACCTGCTTCTTCACAGCTCCTGCAAGCCAGAATTCCAATGCCCCAAGGTTGAGAATGATGAAGGAAGCTTCATCAACTTGTTATGCAGCATGGGGGATCAACCTGCTTTCTGGCCATGGCCGGATCACCACAACTTTCATTAGTCTTATCTACCGTATTAGCACTTCTTGAATTATATTGCAAATTAAATTTGGTTTTCATGTCACTGGTGTAGGAAGAAAAATGGCACTTCCAAATCTGAGTCAGGTGAGGGAAAGAGTCAGCAATGAAATAAAACTTTTTGATGCTTGTACATCTTTTAAGTTTTGGCACCAGGATTTTTCGGACATATTGCTGAAGTGTCTAATAGTGTCATGAGATCAAACCAAGTGCATAAACATACATGAGTTATAATGAAAGTTCAAATTCTCATCCACACAGAGTTAGAAGACTTTGAAGCATGCAAACTTTTCTTTTTCTAATTTAAAACAAACTGTTCATTTTCTGAAACATTTTATTCATGACAAAAAGAAATGACTTCTCAGAATAATATATATAGAGAGAGGAGGTAAGATAGAGAAACAGGAGGGCTGTATGTGAAGGTAGTGAGATAAATGACCAAAAAGAACAGAGGCTATGCATAAATTCTGTCTTATCTCTTGGTTTAAGGTTTTATTGATAGTTTAGTCCAATCTCAGAATTGTAGGTCTGAAACCTATCTCTTTCTTTGGATTGATGATTATTGAATCTCAATAGATAAAAGAAAAGCTTATTTTGACCAATACATAAACATGATAATTAAGCATCAACATGATGTAAAAACTTGCTAAATAGGTTATCATTGAATGTAATCTATCTATCCTAATTATTTAGTGGTGTTTTCAGAAATAAAGATATTCATTATAGATATGCACATTAGTTTCTGTAGATATATATTTTCAGGAAAGGAATACAAATAGGAAAAAGCTAGTAAATGTTCATGCAATCTCTAGATTTTCCTCCTTTCAGCTGTATCTCATTGTATGATGACCAACAAATGCTGACTGGTGAGCCTGCCACAACACCAAAATGTGGACCAAACAGCATCCAAGGGATCAGGAGAGGTGTCACTCTCAGATAATATTATATTCTGATTCCAAAAGAAATGTTGCTGCTTTTCTAACACTGCAGAAAAATGTATCTGTATACGTTTCTACATATTGTATGGTTCAACAAGTTGTGACATTTAAAAGGAGATCATAAGGACAGGGAGAAGATGTTGATTTCCACAGGACATCTTTCCTCAGGAAGAATTTTCTGTAGATATTGTTTTCTGTAAGTAAACAGATTCTGCTCTCTGCAAATTGCCTGCAAGGAGTAGGCAAAATTGTTAAGCTTGTTAGGAAGAGGGAAAGAGTCAAAATTACAGCTCATGAAACACCTCTTTTTGTGCATTCCCTACCCTGAGAAGATGACAATGACAAGTCATGGAGTCCAACCATCATTTCTCCTGATTAGTAGATGTATCATTCATCAAAAGGAATACAGTGATTCCATGTCTTTGGAGCATTTGATCTCTCTTCTCATGGTGTCATTTCCACCTTGTGTTGGTAATTCAGAAAAAAAGTGCACATCTTACTGAGGTAAAGTCCATCCTCTCAGAGTCCAAACAAGTGAGGCTAAAGGGAAGCTGACAAGCCCACATCCAAGGTAAGTCTTGCAGTGATCAGGAGAGGACTGAAGGGATTCCAAAGCTTGACCAAGTGTGTTCTGCATGGCCAAGAAAATTGCCACAGCAAATGCTCTGTCATTCATTCATATTTGACTCAGAAGCAATGGACTCTCTTGAAGCATTTTTTGAAGTTGGAGGTCAGACCTCCATTTGTCTGATATGAAGTGGCTGTGGTGTTAGTTTCCATGTTCATATTGCAGTCTCTTGATTGTTTAGACAGACCTGCAAGCCAAATTGATTGTTCTGAAGAAGATGAAAAATATGATTTGACATAAAATTGTTGCAAGGATATCAGGCCTAGGTTAGATGCCATGGAGAAGAAAGAAAGACTATGCTTATATCAGGTTTAGGTTGATGAAACATGAGGTTGGTACTCAAAGACTACATAAAACACATCATCTAACATTAGTTTCACTGTAAACCAAGGTCAAGGTCATCAGGTCCCTGTTTGAAACATTCTCCTGATGTCAGAAAAATCACAAAGTGATCTTCCAATATGTCAGAGCATGAAACAGTAAGAAAGTGGTTTTCTCTTTTTAATGTCTAGTTGACTATTTTTAAGGCAGCATCTTACATACATATATACATATTCAAGTATATATTTGGTATCATAGCATGTGTTGCCAACAAGGCCATGGTATCTTATTGTTTTAGATGTCTCTTCATATTGTGCTTGTCAACTGTGTACTTAATTTACTCCAATTAGGAACTTTAGAATAATATTAAGCATGTGCAGGGCACATATGAGATGGCATAAAAATGGCTTTGACTGCAGCATAAAGTATGAGTGGCTCTGAAACTTTGATTTCAGAAATGATCTTTCAAGTGATTGCCTTATTTTAAGACAAATTAACTGCAGCATAATGAACATGAAGATCTCAAGTTCTTGCATTAGTTTATGACATATATATAAACTATCCCTCTTGAAGGTTTTGTCAAGTTTAAAACATCTTCTCCCCAAAAGAAATCAAAACCAATTAATCAGTAATATCTTCAAATGATTGTTCAACAAATTTTTTTGTATAACTATCAAAATATGTTTATAGAAAATAGTTTACCACATAGTAAAACAAAAATGTTGTTTCTCACAGACTTAGAATTTAGATACAAACACACTATTTCTCTATATCATACTTGCACAATTATATAATATAATTATGTTTTGTTTGGCAATCATGTGTGATATTATTGTTATATATATATAATCTTAATTATATTTTAATTTAACAAATATATTAATGTGAAGTTGGGATAGGAATAAGTGATATTGTGAAAGATCCAACTCGACCCAATTTCAATCCTAATTTCAGATTGAAATTGTCATTCCTATCCTATCCGACATGTTCATATTCATATTCAATAAATAATTACAAAGTGTAGAGAAATAAAATAATTTTTTTAGTTTATCAAAATATAAGTTTAAAACGATTATATGTAATTTCAAAAAAAGAAAAGTTGTTCTTTTTTTATTTATTTTATCTATCTACTTTTCCTTTCAGTGCAGCTGAAATCAGAAGATTTGATGGAAAAATGGAATAGAATTTGGCCAAAAATCTGACTTCTGTATATGTTTTTTTTATTGATTATAAAATACTCCGAAACCTTAAAAAAACGGCGGCGGACATATCTTTGACCTGCGTACCATTTGTTGTCAAAGATACGCTGACCAACTGCTATCCTCACGTTCGTCTCGTCGCGGCCGAGAACCCTTCTTGAAATCCCTTCTCCTTCCTCCCGAATCCCGCCTCTCTTCCGCTCTATTCTCCAATGTTCTTCGTCTCCTCCGGACCCTGTTGCTTCCACGCGATTCGCCGACGGGTCTGGGAAACAAGAGCGGCTGCGGGCTGAGAGGGTTCTTGGGCTCTTTCGTGTGTATTTTGGGGATTTCCTTCTTCCCGGAGGCACCTCATAGATTTTCTCGACATCTTTCTCGTGCATCGATTTCGATAGCTTGATGATCTCTGGGCACAGGGGAAATCTTATCATTGTCTTGATGTTTTTCCTGTATGTTTGCGAGAGAAACCTCTTTTGCCTGATTCTTGTTGCCAAAGAATGGAACTATCTTAAATTGATTCTTGGTGTCAATAAGCAATTCATGTAGATAAGAAATCAGATGACGAGGAAAACATGCCTGATCTCGTAGGGGTAACATCCTGATATCTGGACAAGGACCTTGCTGGGTTCTTGACGCCAAATATATGATGGGGGTTTCACTTCTTCCTAGAGGTATGCCGTAGATTTTCTTGAAATCTTTTTGGTTGTCCAATTGTTGTTACCGCTTTCTATAGCTTGATGATCTCTGGGGAGAAGGGAAACCTTATTATTCTTTTGATGTTTTCCGTGTTTGTCGAAAGTGCTCTGTGAGAGAAACCTCTTCTGGTTTCGTTCTTGTTGCTAAAGGATGGAACTATGTTGAATTCATTCTTGGTGTCCGTAAACAATTCATGTAGATTGAAATAATTGAGCTAACTGAACTGAGTTTGGTTTTCCTCATCCACCGGGCTAGAGCTTTAGAAATCGGATGACAAGGGAAAGCTGCCTAATTTTGTAGGGATAACATTCTGATATCTGGACGAAGGACGCGCTGGGTTCTTGAGGTCAAAAGTGGGTTCTTTCATGTATTCCCACCAGACCTATGCCATAGGTTTTCTTGAAATCTTTCATGTCGTCCGTTTATCGTGTGCCATGTTTTATTGTTTCATTCTTGTTGCCAAAAGATGGAACTATGTTGAATTGATTCTTGGTGTCAATGAGCAATTCATGTAGATTGAAACAAATACTCGAGACAAATTTGTGGTTTTCTTCATGCACCAGTCTAGAGATTTAGAAATCAGAGGACAAGGAAAAGATGCCTGATTTTGTAGGAAAAACATTCTGATATCAGGAAAAGATTTTTTTCGATAGGGTCTTGAGATTAGTGGAATATTTTGTATGTTTTGGTGTTTTCCCTTCTTCCTAGAGGCATGTCGTACATCTTCTTGAATTCTTTCTGGTTGGCCGGTTGTCGTGCATCCGTTGTTATAGCTTGTTCTCCAGGCACATGGGACAGCTTATCATTCTTGTTTTCCCTGTATGTCGAAATGGTCTGTGAGAGAAACCTTTATCAGGTTATATTCTTGTTGCCAAAGACTGAAACTGTGTTGAATTGATTCTTGGTGTTAAGGAACAATTCATGCAGAAATATTTACATAACTGTCTGGTCTCCTTCATCCACCTGCCCAGATCTTTAGAAATCAGATGCAATGTACTGTAGGGATAGCATTCTGATATCTAGGCAAAGAAGTTGCTGCTGATAATCACCAACACAAATTTGCATGGAACCTTGAAAATCCATAATTCATTTTATCATCTAAAACTGTTTTGTAATTCAAACTATCATTGCCCATATTAGTATCGGCTTTTGTATTTAGTTAAAGAAAGCAAACACCTAATCATTGTTTGCCCGATTAGAATGGCGTAAATCCAAGTGTCTTGGAATAACTTCTGGAGTATGTCCAGCCTTGTGGTGCCTGTTCAGCCGCTGCAAGTGTTCATGCTGATTTCTGAATTATATGTAGCACCTAGTTGTAGTTATTAGAAGTAACAATTCATGACAAATTGTTACTGATTGATAATTATGCTATTTGATGAATAAGTGAACATGCTTTTATGATCCATGATGTGCCCACTATTTAGAACCAGTGGATTCTGTTATTTGAGAGATGAGACTACTATTGATTCTACAGTCACTGGTACATGGTAATTTAGATAGTTCTGGTAATCTAACTTGATGCAATTGGAATCAATGGCAGGGGATATAAATGCCTTTCTTGTTTCATGGTCCAACCAAAAGAGAAAGAACCCTCTATAATCCATTGACTCAAATCTCTTAAAAAGAGAAAATAAACTGGAGAGGAAATCTATTTTACACTGTGAAACTCAAATTGATGTAGGATACCTTTATGTTGTTTCTGTACTTATGTACATTTTAGAAATGCAAGCTAGATTCCTCTTATTACTAAAAAGCATTCTTTTGCCCATGATAAGAGAAGCTCAAGTAGGATTTATCTCAAACAGCTATATTTCTTTCGTCTCTTCTACTATTTGAATCATAATTTCTTTTTAACCATCTTATGGGGGCTCGTCCTATAATGCTCAATAGATTGTCCCTACCATAAACTGTACCAACTTCATTTTCTAGCTTACTTGGTGTCTCTTTCTAGGGTTGGATTGTTATAAGACATATAATTTCGACCGAAAATGTCAAGGAATTTTGAAGCATCAAAAAATAGTCAACCACATCATGGAATAATGTCTTTTAAGTGGGTTCATCAGTTGACCAAAAGTTTTTAATATGTTACCGAATCTTTTATATATATGTTATATGTTTTTATCCTTTATTTACAACATCTGCAAGGATAAATACAAAGAATAGGAGGTAATCGAAATGTTTTGTTTTGACGTGGGGACTAAGAAGGCTTTGTACCATTGTCTCCAAAAGCTTCTTTTGACATAATGGAATCAGCAATCGGTTATTTCCACATTACAAATGATTGTGATATTTGTCTACTGCTACAATACTACATCAGAGAGATTATTTACACAGCTGTGAGATATACAGGGATTTGAAGCTTGAATGTTGTGAATTGCTGAAGCTATGTAGACACCCATCTCCTGCGCAACCAACCAACGCAGTAAAGCGCTGGTGAATGAGGCCAGACATTGTTGATTCCAAGGAGTATTCGAGTACATTTTCATCACAAGACGGAAAATGGTAGGGCGCTCTGAACCTTGTTGCCATTCCTCCTCATGGTCCTCGGTTTAATATTGCTGGCCTCCCTTGCTTTTGGTCAAAAGACAACTCAGTGCTCTTCAGCTTTTGTGGAGAAGATAGCTAATCAGAGAAATAATGGCTTAACACTGACAGCCGGTTATACATAATTATAAAGCCGATGTTTCTGCCTCCAACCGAGAAGATCATGATTTCGAGTTCAGGTATAAACTTTCAAATTGCACACAATGGGGCTATCCTGTTTCTCTTTTTCTGAGTGGCTATTATGAACCTAAGTTGCCTAAACTTGCTGGATCACAGCTTCTTATTTCTTGCTCCGGAGCAATTTGTTTCTTTTGATGTTGGAAGCTGGATGTGTATTCCTCCTGCTGAAGCACCAGAAAAGCCAATATTAACAGGTTTTCCTCCTGCTGAAGCACCAGAAAAGCCAATATTAACAGGTTTTCCTCCTGCTGAAGCACCATTCTGTGTATTCAGGTCAAAAGGTGCAATTTTTTATGCTGCAACCTCTGGTTGAATGATCATTTAATAGTATTTATCCAAAGTTTCCTCTCCACTGTAGGCCTCATGGGTTTAGTGGATGCAGTTGCTCCTGCAGGCGTTGGATTCCGCCTTCTCTCTCTTTTCCGGATGCGAGAGTGCCTGTGGAGAGGAAGGTGGAAGAAGAGCAGCGAAGCCAGGAAGTGGCGCAAGTATCAAAGCAATGTGTCGTTCCGATATAGGAATCCCATGCAGCACAAACAAACCTCTGTGATGGGACATGAGAACTGCTCTCTTTCTGTCGCGTGGGGCTCCTTCTGGATCAACTCACTCATGGTGTTCTTTTCCTGTAAATGACACACGAAAAAGAAAGCTAGCGACGCATGAGCTGTGTTGCACTGAAACGTCATCATGCACACCACCTGTAGGAAGCAGCAAGTCATTCTTCCATTGGAAATCTGAAGAATGAGATGCTGCTTTCATGCAGGAAGAACAGCTCAAAACTGGTGAGGTTGACAAGCAAGAACACCTCATGTTTGATGCACAGACAAGACACGGTAAAGACTGGCAGCAGCATCTTGCCCCACGACTAGGTCACCTCCTCTCCAAGCAGTAGCAACAGGCGAGGGGGAAGTCTTCTCTTACAGCTCCACAGGATTTGTCATCAGCTGTGGGACCCACGGAGATCTTCCGAAAGATCCACCTTTCCATTGTGCTTGGATCCGACAACAGTCAGCAAGCGAGAGGTGGCCACTTACCATTCTGCTACTTTTGGGTGAAGTGACAGTAACTTACTACCTGACATTCCAGTCTGAAAGAAAAGGATTATGTGATGTCTCCATATAAAATTCGTGGTGAGAATAATTTATCTGTTTTATTATTATTATTATTATTATTTCGGTTAATAATTTCTTGGGCTTCTGTGAAATTTGTCAGTTGGTAAGTTATTCTTTGCGATTTACTTCGGTAACGGAGGACGTGTCGTTTAAACTTACCAGTGGGTGAAGACCATCTCACCGCGCTTCGTCTTCCTCCTTTGCTCCTATTTCTTTAGTGTTTACCATTACTCTCTCTCTCTCTCTCCTCTCTTAATGATTTCACGTCTTTTACCCATCCCTTTTCTAATGTTTTTTTCAAACATTCCCAATCTCGCGCGTTTCGGAACCCTAATCTCTCCTCCCTTCAAAACCCTCGTGAATCGCTAGATCCGCCCTCCGTCGAGGTCGTCCTCGATCCACCACGACGTCTCCAGCTGGAGCACTTTTGATGATGAGGGGTTTGGAGAAGGAGAACGACCCCACGTCCGTCGCCCCTCCAGCCGTGGCGCCGCCTTCGAAGAAGGATCGACATGTCGTTACTTGGACGCCTCGGGTCTCGAATCTCTGCTTTTATTGCTCGTTGACTTGTTGATGCGATCGAAAGATCGAATCTTTGACGGTTTCGAATCTGGATTTCTTGCAGGAGGATGATTTGCTCCGGGAGCACATCGCTCTTCACGGAACTGCCAAGTGAGCCTGCAATTCTTTGACTTGTATCTGATCTTGTTCGAATTCTGTATAACAGTTCTTGCACTAAATCTGGAAGTCTCGCTATGGATTGTGATATGTTTTGTGAGCAGTTGGAGGAGTATCGCCGCTCTATTCAATGGCAAGACAAGTCGCCAGTGCCGGAGAAGGTGAGCGATTGAAAATTTTCAAATTGGGGGATCTTTTTGACACATTCATGAATGGGTCTTGTTGATTATCTAGTGGAAGTGACACAGATGTGGTGTTGAAATGGCAGATGGTATACCTACATGAATTCAGAGTGTAAGAAAGGTGGGTGGTCTGCAGAAGAGGACATGCTCTTATGTGAGGTAAGGAATTTGATTAGCTGCCCTTTATGGATTTTGCCTGGGTACATCGAATTGGCACCTTTATTGAATTAAAGAGGCAGCTTTTTTGCTATTCAGGTTTATGATTAGGAGAACATGATTGTGTCTTCCCGTTTTAGTTTCTATTCATGTTTTCTGAAGTGTGGTAGATGTTTCCAGTAACTGTTTGGGTTCCTTTTAGGGACAACAGTATTTGTAGGGCTCAGCCATAACAAGAGTGAACAATGTGCCTCACATCAGCAGCCCGGTTTTTATCTCTTATATCAATGAAATGCGATTTCTTGTGTAAAAGTGGATTTTCTTTGGCGTCGCTATATGCTCATGACCCTCCAACTGAACTTATGTGCAGGTACAGAAGATTTTTGGGAACAGATGGACAGAGATTGCAAAGGTGGTTTCAGGAAGGTATACTGCTCTGACTTCTATCATTAATGATAACTTATTCAGTGTTATGAACTTATGTTTATTTATTGTTATGCTCATCAACAGAACTGATAATGCTGTAAAGAACCGGTTCTCCACCCTCTGCAAGAAAAGGGCAAAACTTGAAGGCTTTTCCAAGGAGAATACGAGTTCATCATCAGATTTAGGTACTTCGAGGGTTATAGTTCAAGATAGATATGCTGCAGCAATGATGGGGGAATCATCAGTATCTAATAAGAAAATAAGGTAATAGGAGTAACTATTGATAAATCAATGACTAATAGTACATAGAATTAGTCATTTGCAAGTGTTCATGTTACCTTATCTTCTTATTAGATACTGATTTTTTACAAGTGTTCATTTGCAAGATAGGTATCACATCTCTCATCCCAAGGAGACTGTTGACCGAAATAGGAAGCTTCCTGGGGAACATGTATCAGAGCAAAACCAACGAAGGCCACCTCTAACAGCACTTGTTCAAAATATTAACTCTATTAATGGGTTGACCAACGACACAAGAGGATCCCTTTGTGATGGTAAAAAAGACTTGGAATTTTGTTTCTCTTCTTCTCTATGAAACACATTCAAGTCTTGTTATAAACCGCTCCTGATCTCGTAAGCAGTTACCTTTTCCGATGTCTAAACAGCTTCCAACAAAGATATTCAAGGCACTTTTCTCAGGAAAAACGATCCAAAATTAACTGCCTTGTTGCAGCAAGCTGAATCGCTTACTTCCCTGTCCATGAAAATTAATGCTGAGGATACCAACCAGAGTTCCGACGAGGCATGGAAGGTGCTGATTGCAGACCTAGAAATAGTTGGGTTTGGGTTCGATTTGTTTAGAATGCCAAAGTATCTTATATTTGGTTTCATTTGTGAATTGTTGGACAATATAAATTAACAGGAACTTCAAGATTACTTGATCCAAACTGAAGATGGTGAATCACTGACAAGAAGAATATCCAGAATGGGTTGTATGCCAGATGATCTCAGAAACTTGATAGAAGATGTAAATAGCACTAAAGAAGAAGGGCAGCAGCCAGTGAGGTAAACAGAGTGGAAATCAAGTTCGTGTTGTCTAATAGACTTTCTGTCAGTTTTATCAATTGATGTATGCTCAGAAGATAATGACTAGCCCACTAGCAGGCAATTTGATTCTGATGAAGATTCTCAAGGGAGTTCTGAGTGCAGTACAGGTTCAACCCACAATGTGAATGCTGGGGAAAGCGGAAGCATTCATCATTATGAGGATTGTTCACTGCACAAAGATAATGAGGTCAGTCATCTGAAAGATGATGCTGCACATTCCAGCATGAACTCTTCTCCAGGTAATGGATAAATCTCTAGTCTCTAAAATGCCTTCCATTTTATCTGAATACTAGGACAGATGAAATTGTTGTCATTGAATTACTTGTTCCTCTTTCAGAGACAATCTTATCATTGTCTCCAATGCCAAAGGACGAAATTGTGAATGACTGCACGAGCTCAGAATTCACATCTCCACTCCAGACAATCCCACTTTTCCAATCTTTTGCAGATGGAATTCCGACTCCCGTCTTTACTTCAAGTGTAAGTTATGATTTTCATACATTGTTCATATGTGTAATCCAATATTTTGAGCCATAATAGAAATATCGAAGTGCAAATTACCTATGCACATGAACTTACAGAAATAGGTTATGACTCCTTTAACTTTGCCTAGTTAAAAAACCATTCTGATTTTCACAAAATTACACATTCATTCTGGAATCTGTAATTTTCTCCTTAAATTATGGGTCAAACATGTTGAAAGTCACCTGATGCTCTTCCTTTGTATGTTGGTGCTAACCACATGGTGCTGCATTCCTTTCAAATATTACAAAGAGACTTCTTGTCTTTTAAAATCTGGAAGAAGCTTGTGATCCTTTGAAGATTTAATTATTATAATCTAGAAAATAAGTACTTAACCATAAGTTCCATCTTAACCATTCACTTTCTGTATTGTCCAGGAGAGGAATTTCCTGCTTAACGTGCTTGATTTTTCATCCATGGGCACCAAGACCAACTCCTCTGAGCAGCCATCTTGCAAGAAGGCGCTTCTTCATAGCTTCAAGCCATCCTAGTACGTGATTTAGAAGGTCCTACCCTATTTCTTAAAGCGTTTTACTTTGGAATTGAGAAATTCTTCCTCTCCTCCCTTGACGATTCAGTTATTTCTGAATTTAGACGTCATATGTCCCAGAAAAAGTATACAGATTCTTGCTTAGTTCCTTCTTCCGTTCTTTAACTTAAGTTGCAGCTTTGTCCTGTTTTTATCATAGGCACTTTTTGAGTCTGCACATACAAAATAGGTGTGTCCTCACTGGTGCATTGCAATGTCACCGGCTTTTCCATCACCAAGCTGTGGTACTGCTTGGTTGCATACGTGTACATGCACCAACTATAATGGTGCTCATTTACCATTCTTTCTCTGAAAGGGTGTATTTAGTATTTCCGGTGTTTGCTTTATTGTTCATGTATAAAAGGTCATTATTGTGTACTGTACAAGCCATATTTACCACAACATAAGGTCAGTCAGATATTCTCTTTCTTTGGTTTGGTGTGCAAGTCAGAATAAGCAACATGTCCTTGGTTGCATGAGTCCCCTATTACCTTTTCTTCCCTCATCTGCTTAATTGATGGGGCAGGTATGAGTCCTAGATTTGATTTTCGTGTGGACCTTTTTCTTTTCCCTTCTTTCTCATATGTATGTACTTTGTCCCATGTATGTATATCATATGGTAATGAAATATATGGTTCTTCAAGTGTTTTGTATTTGTCTCTTTACCCAGTGTCACAATGTATTAATTAACGAAGTCCAGAAACTTTGTATGTCTTGTTTATAGAGAGGTCAACCATTGAGCTCGCTGGTTGGCCTGATGCTAATAAAGTGGATCAGATATGGATTCTATTGGGATATACACCATTCCACTAGCAAAGAAGAATGAGAAGGCTAATGTTCACTTCTTATGGTGCACCCTTGCTTTTCACTGGATTTTAACTGACTGCCCAAAACTGCAGGATCATTAGTTTCTGAGATGAAAGTGATTGCCTTGTCTTTGCATGTACTAAAACAGAGTAAATTCCATCAAGTATATTTAATTTAGTTGAACATGACATCTAACATCTACTGCTAATGAATACATACAGTCAATGCTTTAACATTATGGGTTGTCTTATTTTTGTTATCAAAATTGTTCATTTAGAATAATGTTCGTGTCTTTTATCTCAGTATCTTCTTCTGTCTAATCTTCATCACTGACTGGTCGAAGTTCCTAGTACTATTTTATATTATTTGTTGTTGACTTCCCC